TTTCTCAAACATATCAAGATTTTGTTACCAGGGAGGCCGCAGGGGTGGCTTCTGGTGAGGACCAAAAGCTGCCACCACATCAGATAAAACCCCTGACAGCCAGCTCCAAAAGGGACAATGGCCAAAGCCAAGGCCCTCTATGATATCTGAGTTTAAATAAAAGCTCTAAACTATAACGGCAGGAAAAAAGGAACAAGAGCACATGAGAAAAAGCATATGTAAGTCGCCTTTACCAAGTCAGACTCTCCCAGCCTTCACCAAGGGCCAGGAACCAGCACAACAAAGTTCATCCAGCAAGGATTTCAACAGCCTGCTCCTCAAGCCAATTCCTTTGGTGGCTGAGACCTGCATGTCAATAGAGCACAACACAGAGAAGCTGCTATGCCAGTTTGTTGGCACTGGTGAAAAAATAGGAATAATTTTTTAGCTTGGTAGATGCAGCTAGTTTTGATGTATAAACAGTTAAGAAATTAAACATTAAAATTATTACCAATACTCCTACTGAACTCATTCCAGAGGAGAATCAAAGTCTAACTTCATTTAGGTCAAGGAAAGAATGGAAAGCAGATGGCTGGCTGGAGTAGAAGTTCAGTTGACTACTGAAAGGGCTCAAAGAGACACGTGGGTGGTTAAGCATCTCACCTGCAACATGCACTTCCCCAAGTGCACAACAGCCCTTTCAGAACCCCTGGATGGAGGTAAGGAGTGTCACTATTCCACTGCAATTTGATCACTGCACAGTTCACTTGTCCACCCACTGTGATCCCTTGGCCCTTCCTTTCATGTTAGTTAGTCCTCTCTCATTATGCCTAATTATTCCAGCTACGTGTTTTAATTGCTGTACTCAAGGAAGTACTTCTCTTCCGGTTGGCCAGCCCATTATAAGCAAGCTATGTAACAGGCCTGCAGACAAAAACATCTTGTTTTTCTTGTTTGACAGCAAGGCACAGATCCCAGCTATTTCATAGCCAAATGACACAGACTGCAGTCATTGCCTAAGGGGAGAACTTCTTCCTGAAACCCTTATTCCCAGAAGAAACTTTTCTATGTTGTTTTTCGTCTGCCATGTACATCAAGTCTACCAAACATTCAAGTCAGCTGGCCATCTACCCACTTCCCTCTTACAGGCATCTTTGCAGATCATTGAATGAAAGCAGCCAATTCATGCCAGCAGCGGACAACAGAGCTTAATGAAAGAGTGAATGCTGTGCTACTGCCTGGCACATAGCTATACTGGCCTCACACCTTCACACAAAAAACAAGCAAAAAAATGCACCCACTGAGCTCTCTATGAAGTATCATTACTTAATACTCACGTGGGAGGACATATGGCCCAAGGCTTTAGCAAGGATACTCATACTCACTCCATTTAGAACAAAATGTTTATTTGCTATACCTACGTTGTTAGACTGAAACACCTGTCCTTGCCTGTTGAAAGACTCAAGCCAGTTCCCATCCTGAACTAGGGTTCTCTCCTCCCAGTAGGGGCGCTTGTGCTCTAGGAACCGAGGCTCCTTACATATAACCAGAACAAAGCATAGGCTTTGCTTTCCATCACCTGTAACAACAAGGACCAACTACAGTCAAATTCTGGTATAACACTGCGCTTGAGGACCATGTTTTGTTTCCTTTAAAGGGAAAGTTTACCTAACATGGAGATATTATTTCGTTGCATATTCCTCAAAGAGTCAAGCCTTAACATCTTTCAAATTAGGGCATGCAAGTTATTTTCATCACAGTATGCCTACATACCAGTTCTTGGGAGGGGAAGATTGCAGCACAGGAAGCTGAACTCGCTGCCCTTTTAAGAACAGCTTTGCACCCCTTGCTTCAGCAGAAGAGGTATTCCAGATATTCTGGTATTCCCAATCATTACTTGAATTTCCAGTCACTGTCACCTGGATTGTCCAAGGCTACTACAGAGTAGCATCTTACTAAAAAAGTAAATGAAGTGTTAAATTCAGCACAGCAGCAGCAATGCACCACTGACTGCACCTTTCCCCTGCAACAACCTGGTCTGGTCTTGCCTCAGCAGAAATATTGTATGTTGCAGCACACTTCAGTATTATTTCTTAAAGATGAAGGGGGATGCTAGGACCTCTTACTGAATATCTGGAACTTTCAGCAGGAATTTTTTTAAACCTTTCTTGCTCACAGTTCCTGCCCAAAAGTAAGAAGTAGGCCACACAGAAGCTGCTTTCAGAAGCAATGCTTGATTGCAGATGGTGTAGTGTCCATAGTGCATACTTGCTACAGCTTCATTTTATTCTCTCCTCATCAGTCTGTCCATGCCACTACTTGGTTTAGTGGCTTCCCATTTACCTTTAAACAGTTCAAACATGCAGCTGCACTTCTCTTAGTGAAATAGCCAGAGCTACATGGAAAATATTTCCCATGTTCTTCTCATTGTATAATCACAACTTAGAACTTATATCCAAGAAGAGCCTTGATGGCTCATCCTCAAGTAAAGGGTGCGGCCACTTCTTGGACTAGAAAAATCTTGTTTCAAATTGGGAACGCATACATTAAGCTGTTCAAGGCCCCCAGTCCTCTAGAGCCATCAAGAAATTAATGCATGCTTGTGAAGTGAGTGTAAGTCACAGGTGAGTTCCCTACCACAAAGACAAGAGGCTCACTCATCCCACATTGTCTGCATATGCAGCAGGAAGTCCAGCAGCACAGCTCACTAAGCTGTACCCACTGCTAGCCTACAGCCCTGCTCCCTTCTTTAGTGAGTTCTTCTAAAGGACCACATCCAAACCAGCAAGGAAGCCATTCTGATACAGTGGAAAAAAAACCACCATTCCCCTTAGCTACAGGGCCAAGAGTAGGTGAACAGCAGGTATAAAAAGGCTGGCAGGTCAGCATTCATCTAGGACAGCTCGATTCAGGATTGGAGGCCCACAGAGTCCACTTTACTGTCCAACACCATGTCAAATGTGTTCTAAGAGTGCAACAGGGCAATCAAATGAAAATTACAAGAGTATATAAATCTAAAATTCTCGACCTTTAAGACACTACAAGTTTTACTTCCTCGGTCACTTGTTCCAGATTATTGCCTAGGAACAAAGCAGCCCAACTGTGACTAAGCACTTTTTTACTAATAGAACCAGAAAGTAAACATATCAATGGCAAGGCAAATTGAAAAGGCAAAAAGACAGCAAGTCAAGTCCTACCTTGCACTTCCATGGTAGGACTGATATGCTCGGGAAAGACAAGTCTTAGCTTTGAAGTCTAAAATGCAGCTTGAAACCCTTTAAAGTATTTTAACTAAAAAGATGTAACAAAATAAAGAACTATTCCACCCAGTGACTACCCTCATTTCTCAGAGACTCTTTCTGTATTTGTAAACCAGATTATAACCTGGTGACTACCATCTGAGTAGGGTGGCAGCAGACTCCTCCTAAAGCAACTATCATGGATCCCAAGCCAACAGTAGATGAGGTTGCCTTTGTCTGTATATAGACAGTACTCCTTTAACACAGAAAAACCTGACACTCCCCTGACATCATTAAATTCTTAATATTTTTGTTAAACACACAGCATATCCAAAAGTGAAGAGTTTATACTTTATTGTACTCATATACATGGACCAAGAAGATAGTTTGCACCATTTAATCTAGCTAGCTTGTTTAGGTTTTTTTTTTAAAGTAGAAAAGTTGCAGGCTGTAATTTAGCCAAAGCACTCATGCTTCAATGTCTTCATGGCTGGAGATTAGACTAGACTTTTAATGGTCTCTTCCAGCTTCTCTTTATTGGCCCCGGAGAACTCCTGCACCTGTAAAGAGAGATTGATTTTTTAGAACTTTTGCATTCAATGCTTCTTAACATTAGTTGCATAGCATCCAGTCACATACACACCTGTTCAACTCTGCTAAAAATCTGTAACTTCTCCCACCCTCAAAACAGGGAGTATTTTGTAGATGTTCATTATTTATTTCCCCACTCAATTCAACTCATGCAAAAGTTGAGACAAAAGACTATCGAAATTCACTTCCAGACTACCATTGATCCTGAATCAATACTGTGTAAAACTCAAAAAGAGTCTTGAAGAGACTCAAGAGGCAGCTCAAAGTCATCTTGAGTTGGTCAGAACCCTACCAATCACATTCTGGAAGGACTGTTCCAAATAATCTACCCCTGTGCCTGGCCTCCCATGAGAACTGTTCTTGCAACTTACAGGGCAGAAAGACAGAGGCAGCACTCATATGCTGTGTCAAAAACAGCTCTGTCCTCTTGTATCTACAGAAGTGCAAGGTACAGAGCAGACTGCACTGCAGGCCATGGGACTGCTTGCTTGATACAAAAAGCCACACACTGACTGTCACACTGTAATCACAATTCTTCCAATAACATCATGAAGTTGCAGAAATTCACCCTAACATACCTGTCAAAGTTTCATACTGACACCATAGTGAACTCAAAGTCACCCTAGATGTGACACTCAACTATCCACGATGCAATTCCATCTCCTTCAGCCATGAAACTTATACCCAAGCATTGTTTTCCTTTAGAAAAGCCTACCTTCAGCTTGCTTATCAAGCCAAAAACCTAAAGACAACACATTCAGCTCAGCAAGTTCAGGCAGAGAACTGCTCAAACTACCCTGCATAGGCAGCCCACTGTGCTGTCAGAGCACAATCTGCATCCCATCACATCCATCTCGTGGCAGAGCAGACACAAGAGGTTTGTTCAGTCCTCTAACAAGGACAGGACCTTCACTTCAAAGGTTATACAGCCTCTCTGTGAAAGAAACTAAACAGTTGTTTGTTGTTCAAAAACTCAGCCAGGTTAGAGACTTCCGTTTGGGTGGGATTCCATAGGCACCTATAGTCATGTCTCTGCTTGAACACAAGCTGCATCCAGATAACAAACACTGACCAAGTAAAAAGCAGGGTGCCAGGCAGATAGACCAGCAGTCTTAACACAGACATCTCACTCCACTATCTCTCATGAAACTATTTGTAAGATGGACCTGTAACTCAGTTCACTACCTGTGAACAACACAGTTTGCACCACCAGTTAACTGCTGGTTACATTTGCTGCAGTACTAAGATGAACTTGCTTGCTCTCAGGAGTGCCCTAATGCTAGTGGTACCATGGAGACATAATCAAGAGAAAGCAGACTAAATAGTCCAACACTCTCAATCTACTTTCAAGTCTGTAGTTTGCCTGCTCCAGTCCCAAAAAGTCAGAGCCTACCTTCTTTCCATTCTTGTAGAACTGGAACGTTGGCATGCACTTCACATCACAGTGTGAAGCAACATCCTGGAAGAAACAAAAAACCATCTTCAACTGGGCACATTCTTAAGGATGTTAAATCTAGAATCCACTCCAGCTGATTTCTTTTGAGGTGACAGGATAAAGCCATTATTGCTCAAGATAAAGCAAAAGCACTTCTGCTAGTCCATCTCTAGCAAAACCAGTGCCATGTTAACATCTCCCTGAAGTAAGCCTTAAAGATCCCTTTTTCAACATTTAATTAATGCAATAGTAAAAATCTTAACCTTACTCTGTGTTTGGAAAAAAACAAACAGACCTCTGCATCAAAACAGATGTATGCTTGTAAGACTGAAGAGCCCTATGGCAACTCTTGGGCTTCCATGTGATATTTTTCAAGTATCAATTTGACAACTCTGAAACTGCAACACAGCAGACATTTTATTGTACTTAATTCAAGACCTAATTTCATTTTTAATGAAAGAGGAAACAATGCCAAGACCAGTGGAGGGACCAGATAGATCAGTAGGTTATGAACTATTAGGTTTAAGGAAGACTGCATCAAAGTAGCTTAAGACCTTAGACTAATGCTCCCTCCTAAAGTAAAGGGTCAGTGTTTCCAAGTTATCTGACCATATCATGCCATAGGACTTCGAGTGTGCTGATAACCAAGGCATTTTGTTATGGTCAAGTGTTCCCTGAAAAAAAGAAAAAAAATCTTTCCAGCTAAATCCCTGTGTTTCAATTTTAAGTTGAAGTAAACTCTTGTTTTGCTTCAGTATGTGTGAAGACATTTTGAATTCTTGTCTGTCACTTGTGTGGAAGTCCTTAGCTGTTCTCCCTCAGCACCACCCCAGACCTTACCTGGGCATCATCCACATCAATTTCTATGAACACCACATCACCGTACTTCTCACACAAACTCTAGAAAGAAATAAAAAGAACTATGCAGTTACAGTGTTCCAAGAAAGCTGCCTGAAAAGATGCATTCATATAAACTGAAAGGCTGGTGCTGCTTAAATTGCTGTGAAACATGCTCTGTTATCTTAAAGCAGCTATTTTACTACCAGAGCAAAAATTTTCTGTTCTGCTGTCGATAGTTTCTGGAGAAATCTGTGGAAATGTGTTCTTCCGAGAAAGACTCAAATATCCTAAGACATAGGTGGAAGGCCTTCTCTTGCAGCCTTCAGCTGATCACCAAAAGGTGCTACAGCTTCTCAGGAGATAACATAGCCACCTAAACACAGCTGGAGGAGTTAATGTAAACTGTTTACAGAAGGATAAGCATTGTTTCCTCTCTGTATACCACCACTTGATAGAATGCAATTGAAATGCATGTAACATGACAAATGCAGGGCAAAAGCTAAACTCCATATTAGTTCCCAGCTATATCAATGGTCAGTCTATTTCACTTGGTAGTCTTAAAAATAGATACTTCTGCAACTTCTCACTTTTCCAGAAAATGCCAGCAACCACATAAGGCCAAAGGAACTTTACTCCATGTTATTGTGAAGCAACACAAACATTTATATACAATTTAATGCAGAAATAAACCCAGAAAAACTACTTACATGGAAAAAGGGTTTGATCATTTTGCATGGTCCACACCATGTGGCAGAGAAATCAACTACTATAAGCTTCTCACCAGCAGATTTCAGTTCTGCCTCAAATTCAACCTACAAAAAAAAAATTGAATACATTAATGACTTTCCCCCTCTTTTTCTAAATTATATAAGACAAATCCCAATGCTGGGTTGCTCTCAGACCTAACACTCTAATCATTATGGCAAGTCTTTAACACTTAACTGGGTTATTTGTACCATCATGTAAGTGCTTCAGTATGAATTGTTTTCATTGGTGCTAGCAGCTGTCAGTGTCTTATGACTCATCAATTAGAAAACAACCTCAGTGCTCAGTCAAACACACTGAATTGTGGAAACAAGCTAGAAAGTCTCTAGCTTAATTCTGACCACTCTGTGTTATCCTCAAAATATGATCCTTAGAGTTTTTTATAATCCACATTCTCATTTCTGTCCTAGCAGTAAGACTTTTGTTTTCCTCTGGGACAGACTTTCCTTTGCAGAATTTGAAAAAGACAGACACAAACCTTTGTATGGGCCTCCAATCTGGAGACTTTTCCAATCAATGGCTAACATTAAAATGATTTTGTGTGTTTTACTGTAGACACACATGTTTTTGAAAGTAACCTCATAGGATAGTTATTTTGCCAAGTGAACCCACATTTGACATCATTAGCCAAAGCAATGCTACACATACAGACTACACAATTAAACACCCAATGCTTATTCAAGTCTTCGAGTCTGTGTGTTGCACTTAGTCACATGAATCATCACTGGACAATATTTCTTGGAACTAAACATCCTTACATGCCATTACTCATCTTTGCTTGTCAAAAAGTGAATGCTTTAATAGAACTGAAAGACATTAAAAGCAAAAAATACTTGCATTCTAGCAACAGGCAGAAGGAGAAAGTGCTGATCACCAACTTCCTGACAATATCTTTGTCAAAGGAAGTATGAGCCACTTCAATAATTTTGAACTTTGTTGTCTTGGCAATCAAGCTTCAGGAGAGCTGTTAGCATAAACTTCAAAAGATAGCTGCTTTAGTCCCCCATAGCTTAATGGAGCAAAGCACTGGAGTCCTGTCAGCAGCAGCTGACTGAAAACAGTATGGTTACTGCCAGACGTACACAGGATGAGTTTTTTTAGTACAGGACTGAACTAATTCATACCTGCTTCTGCAGTCAGCCACAGTAAATTGCGATTAAACTCTAGTGACCTAAATGTCATGCAGGTGTGGAGCCAAAAGTTAAACTGGACATGAATATATTTAACAAACAAGCAGAGATCCTGCATGAGCATTCTTATGTACATATAATCCTATGTGAAAGTCTTCTCAGCTTCCTGTAACTTCAAATAAATTCAGCATTAAATCTCCCTGTTAACAGATGTTTTCCCTCCCCATATAGCTCTCTTCAGAGACACAGCATCCACGTTGGTTTTTCCATCCTTGCATCATGGACAGTCACAGTCTACTCTGCTACAAGACCAGTAGTAACACTCCACACCACCTACTCTCATTCTGAAAGAGACAGGAACAGTTAAGTTTTCCCATCTCTCTACATTCGCCTACTCCTGTACTAACGTAGTATGCATTCCTGCACCTGTTCCCACCAACAATGCTGAATGTCCCTGTACACAGCAATCCACGCTTGCTGCTCCCTCCCAGTACTTATACCATAAATTCCTCAGTCAAGCCTCACTCCTTTCGGCCTTGAAATCCTACTGCTGATTTTTGGTATAGCTTCTCAGACCTCTGCACTCTAACATCACCACTCTATTGATTCCACTTCCCACAGCTGCCAGTTAGACCATCCTCTTTTAACCCGTGTAAGCTTCCTTTCCAGCTACATAATTATGGTATTCTGCAAAAGGAAGCCCAGCCCTGGATTTCGTTCATCATATGGCCACACACCTCAGGTTTGCTATTGCACAGAACAAAGAGAAAGTGGGACTGCATCATAATTACAGCTGGTCACATATACCATTCACAACTGGTGACCTGGTCCTGACTATAAATCTAGTGTTATCCTGCAAATCATCTCCACTATCAGCCAAAATTCCTGCAGTGAAAAGAGATGCTGGGTCCAAAGGTGTTACCCCTGCAAGTTAAAAAAATACTGAACTAGTGAGAAGTTCTGAAAGTTTTTCTAGTAAGCTTAATTTCCCTGGAAGAATACAGTAGCAGGAACAAAACAAAAAAACAAGCTGCTTGACCTGTCTGACTTCACTAGTTGTCTTTCATGTTAACTGTAAAGTGACAAGCTTTTTTATAAAAAACTTAATCTCTCTTACCAGAAGGGGAACCTCTCATCACAAGACTATTCTATCACGCTTTGAGAGGATCTTACAGCTTGATTAAACGGCATTTTCTCCAGGTAGCAGCTCACTGGGGAAACTTCAGCTAGCATGATGGTCAATATTGGTTTGCTCTTTGTGGTGGTGGTTTTTTGTTGTTGTTTTTTTTTCTTTTCTTAACTATTTAACTACAACCTCCCTGAACACACATAAGACCTCATTTTACTTGTATTGCTGTCCAAGAGAAAAGGGCATGCTACCTTCAACAAACACATTGGTCGCAGGCATCTGTCCTCAAGAGCCAAGCAAGAAGCTCTAACAATGAAAGTCTCTACTGACAGTGCTCCCAGCACCAGGTAGTGTTTCAAAACAGAGGCTGGTGGCCACAAATGGTGCTGAAAGGAGTCTGCTGCTCTCAGCAATAGATGATATAGGTCCACACTGTCTGGCAGATTTGATTAAAGCTTGGTTGTAAACATTATTTTCAACGCATATCAAGTCACCCTTGAACTTGCCCGGTCATTAGCTGACTGCTAATTGTTACTATGTAATTTAGTGGGGTTTTCTAAATACAGAAGCCAGCATAAACAGACCGAAGGTTCAACTGCCTGAACTCCCTAGCACGCACCCGCTCTAAAATTATCACTTTTAGCAAAAGATGCAATTTTTCAGCATTTTCTTTAACTCAGATAACAAGAGAGAGCTAGAAGGAAGAGGAAAGCTTTGGCAGCACTAGTTTATACACCCCATTAGCTTTGGCTATAAAAGGCTGTATGTCTCATAGTGAAACCCCCTTACAAGTTACACTAGTCACTGATCTCGAGGCCACAAACGACCAAAATACTGCTCCTTCTGTTCTATAGCAGGTACTACAGAGATCAGTCAAGAACCCTGAAAGCAGCCATTCTTCAGAAGGTAGTCTGTTTCTGAAGAGGTGTGATGGGAGAAGGGCCTCATCTAGCTAGCTCTTACTCATAGAAGCTCTTGCAGACAGGGCAAGAATGGGTTTTTCCCTTTGTATCAGAGAAGAATACAAACCTGCTTTACTGAAAACCAGAGTTAATCCAGAAATCCCAGCTGCACTGTGCTTGATTCTCTGGATGTCACTGACGTTAAAATGCTGTTGTCAGCATGACTGTTGAGTCCACACTCTCCATGAATAACAAAAATTTGCTTTAACTACAATTTAAATACAGCAGACTATTAATGAATGCTCATAGCTAAGAGGATAGTGGAAGCCTAGCTAACTTAGAACAGGCTCTTCCTCCAGTGCCAGGTTTGACTTGCTGCGCTTAATCTGCTCCTGTGCGTAAAATAAACCTCGAACCTTACACCAAAAGTTTGCCCCTCCTGTGCCACCATAAACAGAGAAGGGGTAAAAAAGCAGAATAACAATTCCAGGTTGCATTGACACACCATTGTCTCTCTAGGACCAGAATGATAAAGCATTTCATTCTTCTTCCTGCATTCACCGGTTTTTGACCTGTGGTCACAAGTGTTAGTTTGTATATTTATGTATCAGATGTCAACACTTTTGCGGTCCAGCGGGAGACGTCTGACCTGCCTTTCATTTATAAAGTGAACTGACTGTAGAAGTGCACAGGCTGGAAAACAAACTTGGATGTGTGAGAGACTGGAAAGACTGAAGTCTCGAAACATTTTGGGGCGTAAATATGTGGCGCAAGGAGCAGGTCAGGCCTTACTCTGGTGATGCAGCGCACTTCTGCACACCGCCCACCCCTGGAGCCTGTATCCCAGACACAGTGTCCACCAATCTTGGGCACCCTGGAGGCAAGGGGTATTTAAGGCCAAACAGGCTGCTAGCATATGGCTTGACCCTACCTCCTCTTGGAATTTGTATCAGCTGAATACCGCTGGGACCCAGCAGTTAGTAGCTATATGTACCCTTTTTTTATGTATTTTCTGTCTGTTCTTGGAATTCTTCTAATTCCTTCTTCTCAGAATTTTGGAGTAACTTGATACCAACAGACTTAAGAGTTTGCTAAGTTGAATAGGCTGAGTTAAGGCTTTGAGAAGCGTTTTATGTTGACTGAGTGTTGCACTAAACCTTTTGCTAAAGTTCTCTGATTTTCTAAAGTTGCCAGTAGTCTTTTTTGTTGTTTTGACCTCTTGAGAACATCTTGTTGGCATTTCTCCCTTATGTCTAACTCAGAGCAAAAGAACAGCTGTAAACCCTGTTAAAGATCTTGTTGAGCAACTTTTTGGGGCCTTACAGGATGCCCACACAGCATTACTTGCAGATGCCCCAAAAGGAGATCAAACTGACATTTGCACCAAATTTCAAGTTCGAAAGGTGAGACTAGCCCAACAGGATTTTTCCTGAAATGGCGAGCTTGCTAAGATTGCATGGAGAATATTTTTTGAGACTTGAGCTCCTAAGTTACAGCTAACAAAAACTCTGTTATCTATCAACCACATCAGCTACTGTGCACAAGACCACATGCTATTTCATCACCAGCAGGGTATTCTCCATGTGTTGGTCTAGGCTGTATTACTATTCTATATCTTAGAGCCACAGATGTGTTCGTCTTCACAGACTCATGCACACAGTGATGTGGTGTATTAGGGCTGTGAATATGTCAGACAGCACCATAACAAGGGAAATACTTCTGATACCAGCAACTCCTGATGATTAAGTATGGGGAACGGGCTCTAGCAGTTCCTTTCAAGTCAGGAATGGCTGAACTTTTCCATTATGTCCTGCCCAGAAATGCAACAGAATTTAGACCATACTCTAAAAAAGTCACCTGGTCCCCTACACATCAGCAGTACATAAGGCAAATCGGAACTGCTAAATTATGGTACTGTATCACAAAATCAGTTCGGTTGGAAAAGACCTGCGAGATCATCGAGTCCAACCTGTGACCCAACACCACCTTGTCACCCACACCATGGCACTCAGTGCCACGTCCAGCTCCTCTTTAAACATCTGAGGGGACGGTGACTCAACCACCTCCCTGCGAAGCCCATTCCAACGCCTAATTACCCTGTCTTCTAAGAAATTCCTCCTAATGTCCCACCTAAATCCCCCCTGACGAAGCTTAAGACTGTGTCCTCTCCTCCTGTCGCTGTAGCACCCTGCTATCCGCTTGAGAAACCTTTTCGACCTTTTCCTTAAGACTTTAAATTGCGATGAGCAACAACGTGCCATAACGTGAAATTGCATCACCCCGCATCTCATTCCGGCTCCCCGAAGCCCCCAGGTCTCGCAGTTATTTGTTCCCTCCCTCTGGTCTCACCGAGCCCTCCGCGCGGCTTCCCCCGTTCCCGCCGCATGGGTGAAGCAGGCTCCGCCTGCCCGGGCAGCACACGGGCTCTCACCCGCCATCACCGGCGGGCCAAGGCCTCTCGGGAGCCCAGGGCAGCCCGAGCAGGGTCCCCCGCCGGCCAAGCCGCCCTCGGCAGCGCTCCCTCCCCGTTAGCCCGCCCGCCGGGGAGTGATGCTCCTGCGGCCGCTCGCTCCTCTCACGGCGAAAGGACACGGCAGCCTCGCCCATGCAACTCACCAGGCTGCCCACGGTCTTCACCATGGTGGCGACGGCCGGAAAAGGAGGGTAGGTGGCGTAAAGACAAGAAACCAAGGACTTCGTCCCCTCCCTCGCCTCTCGCCGCCCCAGCGCCTCTCCCGCGCCGCCCCAGCTGCCCTTTTATCCCCAGCGCCGCGCCGCGCCGCGCATGCGCAGGGCAGGGCCCGCCCCGCCTCCTGCCCCCCGCGCCCCCGCCCACGGCGCCGCCGGGCCCGGGGGGCGCCGGGGGGCATTGCTGAGGGGCGGCGGCGAGGGGCGAGCGCCGAGCCGCGCAGCCGCGGCCGGGAGGGGAGACTGCGTCCCTGCTGGCTGCCGGGGGAACCGGCAGCAGCAGCCGCGGAAGAAAGGAAAGCCCAGGCAGGCTTGAAAAGTGCTGTGTAACGATGAGCAGGAAGTGCTCGGCCTCCCCCCCCCGCGTGTCCCCGCGGAGCGGCTCTGTCTGATGCGGCGGTTTGCTCGTCTTACGAGAAAGGGAGCCGGTGTTGCCCGTAATGCGAGGCTGCTGCAAAGCTGAAAGGCGGGAATAAATCACGGGAATGTTTTTTTCCTTTTTTTCCCTTGTTGTTTTCCTTCTCAACACCAAAAGCACGGCGTGGCGCCGTTTCTCTGTGGGATGCGGGCCTTTCTGCAGCCCAGAAGGCTCAGCGACGCTAGCGGTTCCTGCCCAGGCCAAACACTGACCTAGCTCCCCTCATGGAGGGACTCAGCCAGAAAGACTCCTCACGGGAACAACTCAGCCTTCCCGTCCGAGGGGACTCTGTGGTGGAACCTTGAGTTCCAATCTGTCTTGTTTATTTCTGTGTGTTTTGGAGACATCCTTTGTTTCACCACGTGCTGCACCACTGCCCACCCCACAGTGCAAAACAGGTCTGCCACAGCCCTCCTCTCCTCCTGCGGGCTGGTGGGATTTAATGTTGGGCTCTGAAGGTTGCTGACTTTCAGCTCCCAGTGCATGGGACACAGGAAAGTTTAGGTTTTGGGATATTGGTACCAGGTGTACCACGAATGGGCTCTTTCTGCAGGTTTTAGCAGCTGGGTTACCAGCATGTGAAAGGTTTGCTCTGGGACACAGCTGAGCAGAGGATGGGAAGACTTAATGCAGGTCCCGGATAAAAAATACACTTCTTCCTTAAAAAGAAAAAGAAAACAAAAAACAGTTTGGCTTGGATACAGGTACCAACCCATCCCAACAGGATGTGCCCTCATATGTTGTTTTGCTTGTGGTGAAAACTGAGTAAGTAATTTTTTATTTTGGAAGTTTATTAATTGTGTGGCATACTACAGCAGCAGAACCAGTAAGCTCTCTTCTGGCCCTGTGGTTGCATCCCCTTTGCTCAACTTTAGTTGCACCACAGCAGGCCACCTTCTGTCTAGCTCTTTCCAGACCTGATAGGTTTTGTCTGCTTGAAACACTTCGGATGCTACTCTCCCTGCTTCTTCCCCTGTCTGTTAAATGCTATAAGCATCCCCTTTTTTTCCTTTGGTAGCATCACTAGAGGAGCCAGGATGCCTGTGGGTGAGAAGCAGCACTGTGAAGGCTTGGTGGTTTCTGTTGGCTTTCATATTTTCTTCCAGTTTCCTCCAGCTGGTCCCTGCTGCCTTTGTGTCTGTGTGCCCTGACAGACACAGCTGGTACGTCTGCCCTGTGCTGCTTTGGGGAGGTGCAGCTGCTGCTACTGGCTCAAGAGAAAGCGGGAATTCCTCATCAGCCAAGGCACCTTGCTTTACAGCCTGCTGCCTGGCAGGATAAAATAAGAATCCCAGACGACCTTCAGAGTCCAACTCCTGAATGCCCCACCTCAGCCAAGCATAATGTGACTCTTGCAGAAGCCTGTGCAAGCAAAGGCAGGAAGCTGCCCACCCAGATAATAAATTCTTAGAAACCAACAGCTTCCTATAGGCAAGTGTGGGTGGGAAAATCCCTGCTAAACTAGAAGGAGGGACAGGTGTGTCCCTCCTCAGGTGCCATATGTGGCCACTTGCCTCCTACTGTCAAGTATGGGCTTAGGCATACTGCAGTTTGAAGTCCAAAATATTGCTATAGGATTGTTGTATGGATGCCTAAAATAACTGGACTGCAATATATTTTATGTGATCTGTGTTTGATTCTGTAGGCTGTAGTAATTACTATCTTGACAGCACATAATAAAAATGATACAGAAGAATGTGTGTCCTCTAAATGGGGAAGAAAATCTACACACCCAGAAAACACACCCTGTTTTATTTCTTTTTCTTTCTTTTTTTTTTTTTAATTTAGCTGTGGGATGTCTCGTTGTTTACCTTAACAATTCTGTAGCTGTCCCATGCACACAGTCATTCAACCATAGGCCTCAGCTTCTCAGGTGCCCTCACTCCCACCCACCTTCTTCACAACCACAAATGCAACATACTTCTCTCCCCCAGGCTGCCGGAGAGTGGATGTTAAAAATATTCAAGTTGACTGTGGAGAAGTTGAAAATCATGTGAATTTCATGCTTCATCAGACTGCTATATGATGTGTCATACCTAGGAGCCACTGGATAGGATGGTGGGCAAGAGATGGCTCTTGGCAAATGTGGAGTGGCACTGGACCAGGAAGCACTTAAAGACACTCAGAAAGATGTGTTTGCTTGCTTCTGAAAGTCAGAAAATGTGGCCTGAGGAAGGACAGAGTGGAAAGGCAATGTAGGCTTCAAAAATCAGTCCCTAGATAGTTTCTTTTGCAAAAGGTCTGGAGACACAGACAAATGCCTGAGCCGCCCGTGCACTATAAGTAAGTATATATTGGCCACACTCCTTGGATGTGTGGAAAGAGTGGGAGAGGAAGTCAGCAGGTCTAAATTTAGTTGCCCTCAAGAGAATTAATCAGTACCACTTAGGTGTAGGCCAGTAAAAAGGACTGTATCTTTGGAGAGTTCATGCTATGCCATGATCCTCACAAACATCCAGGTGGGAATTCAGTTTGGCTTGGAAGGCATTATTTTATTATTATTTTTTGGACTTTATTTGTGCTGATTTCCATCATCTGTTAGGTGACAGCAACATGTGCCAGCAGTAGGGAAGAGCTTCACCCAGAGCTGGAGTTGAACTCAGGATGTGCTCAGGGTCAGAGCTGCAGTATGGGAGACTGAGCAAATTACAGTTTCAATTCTTTCTGAGCTGCTGGGAGAGGTGGGAAGCAGGGTAGGAAAGATGGGCAGCAGTAATCCCTGACAGAATGAACAGTGAGGCAGGTTGTGAATCATGGTGTCCATCTGAATGAATGAACCAGAGCTGTGACACATGGTCCTGGTATGATGCCCCCCAGCTCCATGTGGCTTTCCAGATTTGTTTACCTGTCTGTAGTTTAAAGGCTTTGGAGCCATGAATCTGCTTTCTAGGGCTTGCTTTGTCTTTTCTTCTTTGTGTGATAGCGCATGTTGGTGGATGGAGGAAGTGCCATGGAGTCGCCCAAGGTAGGCTGGAGGTCTGCAGCTGGACATCCTGAATGTGGTGTTACACAGCATTAACCAAAAAAAAAAAAAAAAGCTCTTGGCAGGCTTTGGGCTGCAACACACAATAGTCACTCATGTTCCGTTTCCTCGTAGGCATGCATGGAGAGTGAGGAAACATGAAAATAAGAGGGGAAAAAGAAGAGGAAGAACAAAGGAAATGGAAAAGGAAAAAAGGAGCAGGAAACCAGATCCAGCAGCTTGTGCTAACTTCTTTCAAGCTCTCCAAGCTCCCATGAGCATATCTAAGACAAACTTCTCTCTCCTAAAACCACTGTTAGGTCTCCTGACCACTCAAATGTGTCATTTAGTGAAAGGCACAGCTACAAGGATAACATTACTACAGCCATGGCACAGATGGTCAGTCATGTCCAACATTAAGAAATGGTGCATCCAATTGCAGAAATGAGGAAACTTCTAGAGGCAGAAACTCCAGCCATAGCAGTATCAGATTTCACCATAGGAAGACAGGTTATTTGCTGGTGTCTTACAATGGAAATTAAGAGTGTAACACCTGGCCCTGACACTGCAACAGAGCAGCAACCTGTAATTGTACTTTCCCTTTCCTTCCAGCCTGCCCTTCTGGAAGATTTTGCTTTTGTAACTGACCTATTAAAGGTGCAATAAATGTTTAATAATTGGATAGGTGTGCTTGGTGTTGTGCCACCATAAGTCACAGAGGAAACATGCTTCTTTCTCTCTCCCAGGCTGATGTACTACAGATGTAATTGCCCAGAGTCTTTTGAATGCTTGATGTAGCATGTCTGGTTAAAAATGAAGGGAGAAATAGAGTAAAATATGAGGTGGGGGGAAAAAAAAGGGGAATAAAGATCTTGGCCAGAGTTCATGCTTCCTTACCATGGAGGGATGTTGGTCAACAAAACACTTGTGGGAATCAAAAAACCATCCATTTTACTTCCCTCACACTAATTTTTGCTTTAGTGTTAGTAAGTTCTTTGGAGAAAAGAATTTCAAAGCAGATGAAGATGCTTTTGGGACTTGAATTAGAAGGAACCAGTTTTTCTTTTTAAAAGAAAGCTTCTGTGAGCTCACCTGGGTTTATGGCATGTTCCATAAAGGTGTCCAGAAAGGAAGGTACACTCACATGAGGTCAACAAACATGGGAATGCTCGTCTGTACTCTCTGGTATTGAGGTGCTTCAAGCTCATGTCAAGACAAACCCATGTTGTGTATTTGCCTTAAGTTTCTCAAACTCAGTCACCTCCTCCATGATCACCGCCTCTGCTCTTCCTGGGGTAGCAGAGCAGGCTGGAGCAAGCAGACCTGCATTTTTCCCATGAGACACGTTGTGTCTATTTTTTTGTAGAGAGCTGCATCTTTTTTTAGGGATACCTTCGTTTTCCTAGGGAATGCTGCTGCATCTGTCTGTGCAAAACATCCCCTGCTGCTACTCAGGAGCAACACTCTGGGGATCAGGACAGTATTACAAGGCTCTTGACCTTCACGACAACAGTGGACAAAGAGGAAAAGAGAATTTCAAGGCTGTACCAAAGCATGAAGCTGAAATTTAGCACTTTGTGATTGCTATGCTTGTGCTGGGTATCTGCAGAGAGACCAAGGTATGGGAGACCAAGAGACTCCTGGAG